TGCCTTGAAGATTTGGAGGCACTATTTATATGGCGTATCTTGCGAGGTATTCACTAATCATCGCATTCTTCAGAATTTGTTTAAGCAGAAAGACCTTAATTTGAGGTAGCGAAGGTGGCTTGAGTTGCTAAAAGATTATGACATCACTATTTTGTATCATTCAGGAAAAGCCAATGTAGTGGCAGATGCCTTGAGCCGAAAGGCAATCAGTATGGGGAGTTTGGCGTACATTCCAGTTGGGGAGAGGCCCTTTGTAGTTGATGTTCAAACCTTGGCTAATCGGTTTGTGAGACTGGACATTTCTGAGCCTAGTCGGGTGTTGGCTTGTGTGGTTTCTCGGTCTTCCTTATATGATCGCATCAGAGAACGCCAGTATGATGATCCGCATTTGCTTGTCCTTAAGGATAGAGTTCAGCATGATGATGCCAGGGATGTGACTATAGATGATGATGGCGTATTGAGGATGCAGGGCCGTATTTGTGTGTCCAATGTAGATGGGCTTAGAGAGTTAATTCTAGAGAAGGCCCACAGCTCGCGGTATTCTACTCATCCGGGTGCCGCGAAGATGTATCAGGACTTGAGATAGCACTATTGGTGGAGAAGAATGAAGAAAGATATTGTAGGTTATGTAGCTTGGTGTCTCAACTGTCAGCAGGTGAAATATGAGCATCAGAGACCGGGTGGTTTGCTTTAGCGGATGATTATCCCAGAATGGAAGTGGGAGAGAGTTACCATGGATTTTGTTAGTGGTCTTCCTCGGACTTTGAAGAAATTTGATTCTATTTGGGTGATTGTGAATCGGCTGACCAAGTCCGCGCACTTCATTCCGGTGTGTACTACTTATTCTTCGGAGCGGTTGGCAGGGATATTTATCTGAGAGATTGTGCGATTGCACGGTGTTCCAATTTCCATTATCTCAGATAGAGGTACTCAATTTACTTCCTAGTTGTGGAGGACTTTTTAGCGAGAGTTGGGTACCCAGGTGGAGTTGAGCACAGCATTTCATCCTCATACGGACGGATAGTCCGAGCGTTCTATGCAGATATTGGAGGATATGTTGCGTGCCTGTATGATTGATTTCGGAGGTTCTTGGGATGAGTGTCTGCCGCTTGCAGAGTTTGCCTACAACAACAGCTATCAGTCCAGCATTCAGATGGCACCGTATGAGGCTTTGTATGGGAGGCGGTGTAGATCTCCAGTTGGTTGGTTCGAGCCCAGCGAGGCTAGGCTATTGGGGACCGATTTGGTTCATGATTCCTTAGAGAAGGTGAAGGTGATTCAGGAGAGGCTTCGTACAGCGCAGTCGCGTTAGAAGAGTTATGCGGACCGGAAAGTTCGAGATGTGTCCTACATGGTTGGTGAGAAGGTCTTGCTGAAGGTTTTGCCCATGAAGGGTATTATGAGATTTGGAAAGAAAGGAAAGTTGAGTCCACGATTCATTGGACCTTTTGAGGTACTTAGGAGGATTGGGGAGGTGGCCTACATGCTTGCTTTGCCACCCAACTTGTCGAGTGCGCATCCGGTATTTCATATTTCTATGTTCCGGAAGTATGTTGGGGACCTATCCCATGTTTTGAATTTCAGCACGGTTCAGTTGGATGGTGATTTGACCTTTGATGTGGAGCCAGTGGCTATTTTGGGTCGTCAGGTTCGGAAATTGAGGTCAAAGGATATATCTTCTGTAAAAGTGCAGTGGAGAGGTCGGCTCGTGTAGGAAGCTACCTGGGAGACCGAGCGGGAGATGCGGAGCAGATATCCTCACCTGTTTGAGGCTTCAGGTATGTTTCTTGACTCGCTCGAGGACAAGCGTTTGTTTAAGTTGGGGAGGATGTGACGACCCGGCCCGTCGTCTCATGGGTTACCGCTCCTTTTTTTTTCCCATTCTCAACTTTTTTATGCTTTATGATCCGTATCTTATGTGATCGAGTTGGTTTGGAGTGGTTTTGATAAGTAATGAGACACTTAGTCTCTTTTAAGAAGGCTTAAGTTGGAAAAGTCAACCCGATATTGACTTATGAGTTAGAGGGCTTGGATGTGAATTCCGATGATTCGGTTAGCTTCGGGGGATGATTTGTGACTTAGGAGTGTGATCGGAAGTAATTTTGGAGGTCCGGTGTAGAATTAGGCTTGAATTGGCGAAGTTAGTATTTTGGCGAATTCCGGTTGATAGGTGAGATTTTGATCCGAGAGTCGGAATGGAATTCCGAGAGTTGCTGTAGCTTTTTTAGGTTACTTGGGATATGTGTGCAAAATTTCAGGTCATTCAGATGTGGTTTGGTCGGGTTTTTGATCGAAAGTGTATTTCAGAAGTTTTTAGAAAATTAAGCTTGAATTCGATGAATTTTGGGTAATTTGATGTTGTTTGAGGTGTTTTGATGATTGGAAGAGGTTTGAATAATGTTATGAATTATGTTGGCATGTTTGGTCGGGGTCCCATGAGGCTCGGATAAGTTTTGGAAGAGTTTTTGGAAGATTTTTGTCGTTTGAGCATAAACATGTAATGATCCAAAGGTCCATTTTTAGTTCTAGAGATCGAAATTTTATTTCGAGATTTCCATAATTTAAATAATGAATTATAGGAGTGATCTGGAAAGTTTGGTCTAATTTCATCAAGTCGAGATTGAGTTTTTGACACGAAACATGAGTTAATTGTTTAACGAGCGAAATGGATATCGTACTGAGCAAACGAGCTCCGAATTTAGTTCTGATTGAAGGACTATGTTCGTATCATTATTTGTGACTCATAGGAACAATAATCATCGAATTCCGAGTTTGTATGATGGAGTTAGAGCCATTTTAGTAAAAGAAAAGTGCTGCAATTTCTTTGGCTACTGTTGTATTTTTTTAGCAGCGTGAACAGTAACCGCGCGCGTGAACAGTGACCGCGCGGGTGAACAGTACTTCCGAAACAAAATCTGGGCAGTGAATTTATAAGATATTTCATCCGCGAGCTAAGTCATTTCTTTCACCATTTTTGGGAATTTTGAGAGCTACTTGGGAGCAATTGAAGAGGGATTCGAAGAGGATTGACTAGAGGTAAGTTTTATGAGTTAAAAACATGATTATATTGTGAAATCATCCTTGAAATTCATGAAAATATAGCCAAATTGTAAAAAATTAGGGCTTGAAATTGAAATTCTAAATTTGGGATTTGAGGGGCCATTTGTGGTCCGATTTGAGAAATTTTTGTATGTATAGACTCATGGCGATATAAGGAACCCGATGACGTAAAAATTTCTGAGTTTCGAGACGTGGTCCCGGGGCTCGAGTTTTGCCAAATTCGTGAATTTTGATATTTTTCGAGTGCTTTCGATTGAGTATTGTCTCTTTAGCATTATGTGCCATATTCGTTGCGATTTTGGGCAGATTCGACGCACGTGGAGGCCAATTCGAGGGGCAAAGGCGTCGCGAATTAAAGAAATAGCCGGTTTGAGGTGAGTAATTGATGTAAATGATGTCCTGAGGGTTTGAAACCCCGGAATTTCACATCGTAAAGCTTTATTGAGGTGACTTGCACGCCGGATAACGGGCGTGGGTTAGAGCACCATTGGGGATTGTGACTTGGTCCGTCCCGAGAGATGTTTTTACCGTATTTTCTATCTGAACTAAATTGAGAATCATCCTTACTTAGATTTAATTGTTACATTTGGGCTTCTTGCCAATTATTTGAATCCTTGAGGGATTGACATTACTGTTTTCGCATACATGCATATCATTTGATCCCAGTCCAAGGTTTTAAATACTGTTTTGCAAATTCGGCCATCTTTCTAAGATTTGAAAACTTAAATGATATTTCGGGCTGAGAACTACTGTTTTACAAATGCCCAAGGGGCTTATGATGATTTCTGGACTGAGCATGGATCGGGATGCGCGCCGCAACAGTGTTATATTGATATTGAGGCCAAGAGCCTAGTTGATTACATTGATATTGAGGCCGAGAGCCTGGTTGATTACATTGATATTGAGGCCGAGAGCCTGGGTGATTATACTGAGATTGATATGAGGCCGAGGGCCTAGATTTGATGCCACGAGATGGCTTGATATTGCACTTGGGCTGTAGGAGCCCCTCCGGAGTCTGCACACACCCCCAGTGAGCGCCGTCGACGATAAATAAATGGATGGCTCGGGCTGCACGCCGCAGTGGGTACTAGAGTGTACCATCATATGCATTGCATTGCACTCATGCATTTGTTTTTATCTGTTATACCTGTCTCAGTATTTGGTACTCTGACTTAATTGACTTGTTGCTTCACTATTTGTTGTTCTAAACTGCCAGTTATAGTTTACTTTGTATTTTTCCATGATTTCTTATTCTCAGCCTTTATTTATGTTTATTACTCACTGGATCGGAGTACTCACATTACTCCCTGCACCTTGCGTGCAGATCCAGGTACACCACAGGCTGAGTAAGGATTTGTTAGCTGAGCAGCAGTATCCGGGAGGTATTGAGGTAGCTGCATGGCGTTCACAGCCTTGATCTCTCCCCTCTATCTCTATCTTTTATTCCGTATTTTTCCTAGACAGACTTGTAATAGGTGGATATTCTGTATTAGAGGCGCATATTCGTGACACCGGATTCTATTGGGCTATGGTGTGGTATTTTAATTCAACTTCTGCAGATTTTATTATTAATTAAACACTTGAATGTAATGACTTAGTAAATTCTCTATAATATTTATTTATAATCTGAACAAGAATTTGGGTTAATGTTGTTGAATGGTCCGGCTTGCCTAGCAGTGTGTTGGGCGTCATCATAACCGGGGTTGGGGTCGTGACATTTACTCTTTGCCATATTTTTTTGCACAAAGTTTTATGCACTTTCCCTTGTCAGGTACCAGGTTTTAGCCTTCACCTTTACTCTATTTGTTTAATTAAAATAATAATAACAAAGACTTGACTCAAACTAAAAAGGACACAAGTCAACAACCACTAAAAAAGGTTCCTCAAACTTCTGTCTTCCAAATCCCTTCTGTCTTCCAAATCCTAATTCAAACTTTCAAAGAAAAGTTAGGGTTTTAAAAGTTTACACTCCTTCTTCAATGATCTGGTTTTAACCTTTAGGCTGCCACTCCATTGCAATAGGTATTTCGATATCCCTCCTCCTTCTTTTTTAATTGTTTTCCTCTTATACAATATTATGTGAAATAATATCTCTTAAATTTTTATACCATTCTCATGACCATTTTTTTGCAAAAGTAGTATATTAATATTCATTGGGATTTGGAGTTGGGGACCATATACTTTAATACTTATTTTTTCCTTTTTCTAGATTTAATAAATTTTAATTTTTTGTTTAACTTATGAAGTTGGAATTATAGATTTTATTTTTAAAAGGGGTGTATTTATTGCAAATAAAAAAAGTATAAGAAATTAAAGAAAAATTGATCTTTAAAGGTTAGTCACCTAAAGTTATTAAATTGCACCTTCAAATTAATTTAATTTTCTCTATGTTTCCATGGAAGCCAATACACATTTTGATCTCTACCATTTGTACTAAAGCTACTCAGATCTTGTCTATTATTAAGCCATTAATTAACTATAGTTTGCTCTTTCTTTGAAATATTTTTCTCCCAAGAATTAATTAAAGTGGAAGTTGTGTAATATTAATGAAAAACTAATATGCTGCAAAGTGATCTTTTTGACTAAAATTCGTTACTGCAATATTTAATTTGTTTCTTATGATTATAGGATATTTTAGTTAGAGTCAAGATGATCAAGAGATTCTTCAAGCCGCAAACCTCTTCAGGTTCTACTTCTAGTTCTCTTTTACTAAGCTCTCCTTCATGTTCAGTGGTTAATAATAATGTCAATTCTTCTCAATCGTCACACAAAGATAATATGTTGGATTTGAAACTTCTTGAACGTGATCCTGGTGAAAGAAAATAAATTTCAGAACATCCTCCTAATTTACGTGATCGAGTGAGAAGACATTACATTGAAACAATGCTATGATGAAGCTAGTAACATGCAGGGTGAAATTAATGGCCGTAAGACTTCGATTATGAATGATACTCCTTCGGCATATTGCATACATTGTTTTGCTCATCAATTGCAATTGACTCTTGTGGTTGTTGCAAAGAAACATTATGAGACAGAACAATTTTTTGATATTCTTGCAAATGTTTTAAATATTGTTGGAGGTTCTTTTAAGTGCAGGAAGATGCTTCGAGATGATCAAGCAGAAAAGCTGGAGGAACTACTAGTGCTTGGTAAAGTTCATACGGGCAATGGATTAAATCAAGAACTTGGGCTTCAAAGGGCAGGTGATACTTGCTGGGGTTCTCATTTTAAGACAGTGCATAATTTTATTAGTTTATTCTCATCAATTGTTCATGTACTTGGTGTTTTTTCAATTGAGGGTTCAAATTATCATGAGAGATCAACGACAAAAAGTCTAGTGGATGACATAAGATCATATGAGTTTCTGTATATGTTGCATTTAATGTTGAAAGTATTGGCACTTACATATGATTTAAATATGGCTTTGCAAAAAAAAGATCAAGATATTGTAAGTGCCATGAAGCTTGTTGGTTTTGCAAAGAGACAATTGTAAGTTATGAGAGAATCTGGATGAAATTCTTTGGTAGAAGATGTCTCTTTATTTTGTGTCAAGCATGATATTGTAATCCCCGAAATAGATATGAATTATTCTCGTGGAAAGTCGAAGTGTAAGAAATCAAGTGTTACATATTCTTATCATTTGCGTGTAGAGGTTTTCTATATATTATTGATTTGCAACTTTCGGAGCTTAACAGCCATTTCAGTGAAGTGAATACTGATCTACTTCCTAGTATGGCTAGTTTGAGTCAAGATAATTCTTTTGCAAATTATGATAAAGATAGGATTATGAAACTTGCAATACACTATCCGAATGAGTTCACTAATTCTATACTTGAGGATCTTGGTTTTGAGCTTGACATCTATACTGACTATGTGTGAGATGCGGGCAATGAATTCTCTAACTTAAAAAGTCATGGAGTTCTTTCACAGACAATGATTAAAATAAATTTGCACATGACTTGGAGACTTTTTTATTTGCTTGTGAAGTTAAGTTTGATATTGCCTGTCGCTACTGCAAAGGTAGAAACGGCTTTTTCTTCGATGAAGTACGTTAAAAGTGGATTTGCGAAGCAGAATTGGTGATGGATTTTTGAATGATTGTTTAGTTTGTTATATAGAGTACGAAGTATTTGAAAGTGTACCTAATGATATGATCATTGATCATTTTCAAAACATGACAAGTCGTCGAGTACAATTGTGATGAGAATATTTATATTTATATGTTGTCTTTAAGTATTTTGTTATTTTGTAAATGTATGTTGAATATTGATACTTGTTCCTTAGTTCGATTGTTATGATATATTGACTTGAAATTGTGGTAGGGACCCATATACTTCAATTCCTAGATCCACCTCTGCTTTTATCCACTCATGCAAAGATCACAATTACAGAAACATACAAACTTTCCGATGTCATATTTTTTTGCTCCACATTTTTCATTTTTTTATTTTCAATATAATAAGTAAATATTGACCGAAAGATCTTCGATTGCTTTTTAATAACGTTTCTTATATGATAACAACTTTGCATATGTGTTCTGTCATATTCACAAATCAATTCAAGTTTGCTAATAAGTGTTCTAGTTTATAATTTTACATTTAGACATTTAAGTAAAGAAGATGCTCGTTCCTCTATTTAAGTCCTCGCTTTTCACCTAGACACTCTATTTTAAGTCCATTTCATTTGAACACTTAAATCACATCTAATACGTGCCATTTAGACACAAAAAGTTGACATGACAAGACAAGTGTTCCTCACATTTTTCAGGCGCGTGACATGGTCCAAAAAAACAAGCTTCTCATCTTTTTGCCGGAAAATGAATAGTTTTTATCGGAAATACTTTCCGATAAATGTCTCTTTTAATTTTTCATTGTTCACACCATTCTATCTCCATCGATATAATCACCTCATCTACTCACCCCCTTCCTCTGTTCCTCCTGGCCTACTGTATTCTGACGAACACGATGGAGAACTTTCCGACGAGCTGTGAAAAAAGAGAAAATGAATGATGATAAAGGAGATTTACAACTTAAAAAGGTTACTCCTGAGTTACAAAGGTTTTTGGCTTTTAGAGGCAATTTTAAGGATCTGCAACTTACAAAGTTTCCAATGACATGAAAGTTTTTTAGCCGAACAAGTTCATTTCCAATCTGAAAATTTTGCAAAGTCGTTTCAGATTTGAAAATTTTTTATCAGATCTAAACTCATTTCTTGCTTTCTCGTTTCACATCAGATCTGGGGAAGAAAATGAACGAGGTGGAGAGTTTTTCGAAACTAAAGTAAGTGAGTTGTCGGGAAGAGGGTGGAAGGAGGGGGATCGTCGGGGAAGATGACCAAGGGGCGGGTTAGGTTCTTTTTTAAAAAAATTGTTTAAATTAAATCCATGTGTCCTTGTCTTATTCGTCACTCTGGCGTGTGAATTACACGCATCTTTTATGTTTGGCTGCCTACAAATTTTGTGTCTAGATGGCACATATGAGATGTGGTTGGAGTATTCAAATGAAACGGACTTAAGATAGAGTGTTTAAGTGAAAAGTGAGGACATGTTTAATGGGCTGTCGATGTATTCTGCCTGTTTAAAGAATGGAATTTTTACATTCCTATACATTATATGAAACTATATTACCCTCCCTACTCAAGTTTTACTATAATTATATTTTATATACCCAATTACCATTTATGTACATTTTAAGGAAATTAATGATAATAATTAGTGTCCTAAAATTACTCTAACATATCTTCTTCTCCCCCACGTTTCTCTCTCCACATCCCACCCCCTTCCCCACATATCTTGCACTCACCCACGATTCTACCATTGACAACCATTAAAAAACTTTGAAGCTTTGAATTCGAATTTGGGTTTTCAAAAAACATTATTTGTTTGAATTGAATGTTATTGCAAAGAATTGGGAATTCTCTCTACGTCTCTCTCTATCTCTCAATCCCTAATTTCAGTAATGTAAAGCACAGAAAAATAGAGCAGCAATTCTACCATTGACAGCCATTAAAATGCTTTGAAGCTTTAAATTCGAATTTGGATTTTCAAAAATCATTATTTGTTTGGATTGGGTGTTGTTGCAAACAATTTGGAATATGGTTTGGAGTTTATATCTCAATTTTGAGGGGTTTTGGTGAAGATTAGACTTGGTTTTCGCTAAATTTCAGATTGAAACTCGATAAAGAAGAAGAAGAGACGTGATATACATTATATTTACGAAATTGTAGTAAAATTGTATTCTATTGTTTATGTATTTTTTATTTATTTATTTAACTATTGTATGAAAGTTGAATAATATTGTATAAAAATTATATTTAAGTTGTATATAACTAAGTAGTAATAATGTATGAAAATTATAGATAAGTTGTATAATATATAATTAGTTGTATGAAATTTGTTTTTACTATGTATAAATCACATACAAAAGACATATTGTATAAATTTTGTATAAAATTTGTATTTAAGTTGTATGTTATTGTAGTTGTATTTAACTGGGTAGAAATAGTGTGCGAAAATTGTAGATAAGTTGTAGATAAATTGTATAATATATAATTAGTTGTATGAAATTTATTTTTACTATGTACAAATCAGATACAAAATATACAAAAGACATATTGAATAAATTTTGTATAAAATTTATATTTAAGTAGATAGTTGAATGTAACCTTGTAAGCTACTACCAATCTGCAAAACTTAAAACCGAGTACATGTAATATAGGTGTTTGCTTCTGTTGTTTTAGGTATTAGAACTACAAGTGTGCAAGTTGTCAGAGGATTTTGCCTATTGTGTAATATAGGTGTTTGCTTCTGATTAATTTTCTGTTGCCAACTACATTATACAATTTCACATGAGGGTAGTTAGTTTTCTTTTAGAGTGCAATTGAGTATTCAGACATTCATATATATACTTACGATGATTTCATTTTCACTAGTTAAGAACCGTTCTAAGTTTGCTTATGAAGATAGCAAAGTTGTAAGTAATATTTAATAAAAATGAAAACCAAAGTATACTGTTGGAGTTTATAACTAAAAGGAAATTAAAGTATTATAAAGGAGATTAGGTCGTTCTAGTGCCAAAGGACGGGGGCAAAGTCCCTGATAGTTCATTCATTATTAATTTAAGAACGCCAATTATTATTCACGTCTAAGGATTATTTGGTCTAAATTTGAACAGTCATCGTCTTGTTTTCCATCAGACACTTAGTAAAATTCAAAGATTCATCTTCACTAAAAAATTTGTGTGAATTTCCACTTAGAAAGAGAAAGAAATATACACAATTGTGGCTTCAGGAAACAGTGGGATGAAGTTACTATAATTCAAAAAAAAAAAAAATACTGATCAAAACTCAAGAAACCTTTTGTGGATAACAGTGGACATGCGGAATAATTCTGAAAGTGATTTAAGGTGGAACTAAATCCGTTAATTGAAGGCACTAATAATGGATTGTGAGCCTTTTAAGGTGGAATGTATATATTTTGAAAACAAAACTTGTGTAAGTAGGGTAATTTACTAAATATGAACATTTAGGGTAATAAAATTTCTAATAGTATATATGAATGAAAAACTCTCTTAAAAAATTTAAGTATGTGAGTCGTATATCTCAAGCCCAAATAAAAGAGATGAATTGAGGTAACATCCTGCATACTTAATATTTTTACATAAAATTTGTTACTCCACATATTTGCTATTTTTCGTATATTTACAACTTTAGTATTTTTTTTTTCTAACTTCGAATTATCCATTCAAGATGTATATAGATGCGTCATTTTAACTCAAGTCCAGCAATAATTAATTTGTTGTAGATGATGGAGGAAATTCTTTCATCTACATTAATCAATTTCAAGCTTGCTAATAGATATTTCACAAGTATAGTGACTTAATTTCTTTCTCAAAAAACTAGTAGTATCATTTTTTCCCCGAGAGCAATTTTTTTTTTCTTCTCCAAAATACCCATTTGTATCGCATAAGAATCCCTTCACTTTTATTATTTTTTGTTCTCTCTTTTTTACATCTTATAAAATCTTTTCTTTTTCCTTGAAAGACAGTCTAATATTTTGGAATGTGAGAGGATCAAATATAAATGCGTGAATTATTCGGGTCCAAAATTGTAAAAGCGTTTGCAAACAGTATTCCTAATTCTGTGGTACCAATAAATCGCAAAGAAACGCTATTAATGTTCGATTCCCACTCACAATAACTTTCTAATGTCCGAGTAGTCGCCCCATAAGATTCCCCACCCACCCACAAATTAGGGTTTTTCCTCCACTTAATTCTTTTCTTTTTAAAAAACATTATTGCGTAGAGAAAGAAGGAAGTCCGAAGAGTAGCAAACCCTTCGATTTTCAATCTTCAATTCGGCTTCCTTTCTTCTTCTTCTGTGAGTAAATTTTCAGCCGAAAACAATGGGAAGAGGAAAGTTCAAAGGAAAGCCTACTGGTCGTCGCCAGTTCTCCACTCCCGAGGAGATGAGTATGCGCCCTTTACCTTCCTTATGCATAACTTTTGAGATCTATACCTTTTGTCTGTCTTTGTGCGTGTATGTGCGGAATTCGAGCTGTTTTGATTTTGTTAAAAAAGTCAATTAGAGAGTGGAGGTTTACCTGTTGTGATTATTGTTCTATTATTTTTTTTAATGTTAGATTTGTTAGGAGAATTGAAATATCTTAGGTGAAGCTAGCTAGATTTTACGCTTCTTTTACAGTTAGTAATTGGACTATCTAATTCTTTTTTCTTTTCAATAAAAGATGTTGAAACGCTTGACTTAGATACGAAATTTTACTTATGAGAAGGATTGCTTATTCTCGCTGTTTAGTTAATTAGAACATTAGCCGATTTAACTATGCGTCAATTCCGAATTAATTGTATATTCTTATTTAGGTGAATTCAGTGCACCTTCTGTGAGTATGCTATCAGTGGTTTACTTTGATGTTCTCTGATTTCTATATAAAGAGTGAAAGTTGGAAGGAGAAAACTAGTTCACGAGAAAAGCTTAAAATAGTTCACGTTGTCCGCTGTAAAAAATATTTTAATAAGTTGATACTCTGTTTTCACTTCATGCCTGGTGCAATATAGCCATAGTATCTTGAAATATCAGATTGAAGTGTTTATGCACTCAAGTGGTGGAGTAAGGATTCCCTTTAGGCATTACACATTATGTATAACACAAACTAGATGAGTTCTGATTTGCAACACATCACTACCTCTCCTTTTCCATCCTATCATAGCAGTTGATGTAAAAAAACAAGAACCTGGGAGAATTCATTCATGCATGATGAACTCACTCTAATTTTTGCTACCCTTATCCTCCTTGTTCTGGTGCCTGTTAGTCCTGGTGCTTCTTTGTATTTCCCTAAGTTGCACGGACTCTTCAATGTTGGTGCCGTCCCCGTCCCGATACGAGACTTGGACGGGTGCTGGAGCGGGAAATGTCTTGGATACGGTCAACCAACTTCGGACACTTTGACCGGAATCCATCGACAAATTTGGGAGAAAAAATTGAGATTTTGATTTCTCAAAATAAAAAATTAAACAGATTTAAGTAAAGATCTGAAGAGATGAGAAACGAAATACCTTCAATTTCACTGCTATGTAGTAATTTATACTAGTCCTTTTATCTTCTTTGAAGCTTTTTGTCTTGGTCAATCTTCTTGTTCTTGTTGTATGTTTCTAAAATCAAGAGCTCGTGGGAAGGGCTCGAATGAGTTTTGAGTTTTGTACTGGAAAAAAAGACAAGACATGGAAAATGTTTTGCTGGGGAAATGTCTCAGAGATGGAAAGAGAAGAGGCAACAGAGAATGGATGAAGAAGAAAGGGACAAATTAGGAAGTGAATACTTTTTAATTGACAGCACATATTTTTCCAATTGTTTATGAGATAATGGGGTTACATAATGGAGTGTTTCAGGCCTTTAGCTGTCTCCCATCAAATTACAAAAAGAAGTACTGTAACACTTTTAAAAAAGTGAGCTTTTTGACCATATTTATATACTTTTTGACCATTTTCTCCTCTATAACCACGTTATGTAGCAAATATTAATATAAGTGTGCTTTGAGCTTCAATTTTTTGATTTGCGCAAAACAAAAAAGAATAAAGAAGAAAAAGTTATATTTATAAGATTTTACTAGTTGTACAAATCTATAGCTCTATTTTTTATTATTTTGAATTTTCTTAGCCGTATCCTGCACCGTATCCATATACGGATTCGCGCCCCCGAATCTTAAAATTTAGATTTTGCCGAATCCGATACTCGGAACCGTCCCCGTATCGGATACCCGCACCCGAGTCCGAGCAACTTAGGTATTTCCCCCTCCCTCAAGTCTGAACGAACTGGACATGGTTGGCTAAGTTTGTTCTGATATTTGCTTTTTTTTTTTTTTTTTTTTTGCAGTTGCTGGTACTTCCGCTCGACGTCCTCGCACGTTTAGGCAGGTGAATGTCTTAACCTTTAGTTTTTATATGCTCCTAATACATATATCTTCTTTTTCTTATACGTTAGCCTATGCATACTTGTTCAATTAGGAGGGTTATCACTGTTGGGTCAGCCACAACATATTCTGTTTTTTTTGTTTGTTTGTATGAATTGCTTTGGCGATCATAGTTTCATGATATTTCAAAACTTAACTTATTTCTGAAAACATAACCTCGTGAAATGATAGTTATTTCTCTGACCTTTTTATTGTGCAAAGAGAAGAGTCTTCCTACAATTGGAGAAAACAATATGTGGTGTATGAACCTGTTCTCTTGATGCAATAGAAATGATTTCAGTCAGCGACCTTTTTGGTGAGTGGGCAAATAGGTTATGATTATCTTGTAAACACTGTTTTCTTTTTGTTGCTTACTAGTAGCTTAAATCATCCTCACAGAAATACCCTTCTAAGCCCGGTTTGTTTTTTATGCTTACTTTTTTGACGTACTTGTGTTCTAAGATGTTACTTTTCTCAGTAAATCAAAAGTATTGTTTTGTGCTTTTAACTTGATTGGTGGATTGAATCCAAAGAACTATCTGGTTTCTGATGCCATCTAATGTCTTTTATTATTATTGTTTTGTGCTAACTTCCAATCCATGTGTTTTATGTAATCTATTTGAGCTCTTCAGGAAGAGGCTGAACTTGAGGAAGAAGAGAGATCTGAGGAGTCTGAAGAGGAATCTGAAGAAGATTCTGATGGAGAGGTCAGTTATCCATGATTCATTGCTTAATTACAACAACAACAAAAAAAAAAGAGTAAATTGATTTGCAACAGCTACTATACCTCAATTCCAAGTTAGTTGAGGTCGGCTATTTGTATTCTCACTATCAAAGACGAATCCTTTGTGCTTTCTGTGGCTTTGAAATGTATTGATTGGATTTTATGTTCTTTTTGTTGTTGTAAACAGAAGAAGAAAGGTACTCAGGGTATTATTGAGATTGAGAACCCCAATTTGGTCAAGCCAAAGAACGTGAAAGCTAAAAATGTTGATGTAAGATCGGCAGGGTGCACTTGCCTTTGTTCAATAGATATTGCTTTTTGGATGTTAATTTGAATGAGGGCTTTTCTTATGCAGATTGAGAAAACAACTGAGCTTTCCCGACGTGAAAGGTATATTGCAGCTTTTGTTTGTGTTTCTTTTCAATATGAACCCTCTGAAGTCGCGGACCAGGATTCCATGTGTGCCTGCTATATGCTTGGCATGAATCCTCCCCTCCCTTTTCTGTTCTTGTGTTTCAACGACCACTCTATATTTTTTCGTTTCCTGTTATAAGTTTTCTACTGCCCTGCATCCACCCGAGGCTCAAACCATGCGCCATTGGCCCTCAAGGATTTCTTGGTAATCAACAATTTTTTTAACTGTGCGCTCCCTCTTTAATGAGAAAAGAGTGGGGTGGGGGTGGGAAGGGATTAGGAGATAGGGTTGTACGATGCTGGTTTTGTTTATTCAAAGATGATAGGGATTGGTCCTCTTACATACTGTCAACCTTCATAAGAGAGAATGTCCAGGGAATATCTCTTCCAAAGTTACTCCTTTAGCTAGAAATTCTGTCGGCATTTAGGAAGATCATGCTGCCAAATCTCCTCGACACTTTAAGGGACTGAGCGTAAACTGAGATAAGTTATTATTCTCTGTGACAAGACCATATTCCTAGGTCATTGTTGCATGTATTCAGCTATTTCTTTGTGTGGGGAAATACTCTTGTTCTGTCCCATATTCCAGCTACTTGTCTGACTGTTGGGCCCAGTGAATGCTGCTGAACTTGAATACTGTATACAGCGGGAACAATTTTAGCTTTCTATTATTGTTATATTTTGATAATTATATTGCTTGTACTTTTTGTGCTCTTTCGGATGTTCAGAGTCAAGCTAAAAGTCTGGAAGAAATATCTTAAGTCTTGTGTATTAGTTCTGTTAAAGATTCATGCAAAGCAGTAGTATATCTGGTGACATATGGTCCAGTTGGTTTCTGATTCTTTTAACTTCTATGACATTGTTAATTTACGCCTTCTTTATTTACATGGTTCTTGCTCACAGGGAAGAGATAGAGAAACAGCAAGCTCATGAAAGGTACATGAGGCTGCAAGAACAAGGAAAAACAGAGCAAGCTAGGAAAGATTTAGGTAATACCACTGAGCTACACTCTAGCAGTGTACTACATTTGTTTTGCTTAAAATTGTCCTGTCTTGTGGTTAATTCTCTTTACTCACTGCTTGTTGAGGTGTTGGGTTGACGGATTGAGGTGTTTCTCATCGCTAGTAAATGTTGGCATAATTCTGATATTCAAGTGTCGTGCTACTTCATACTTGAATCTGTGATGACATTTTGTAAATATATAGTCATGGGAGGGACTATCTGAGTGACGAAGATCGAAATGGATCACTTGTCATCTGGTTGGGCTTATTAATGTAAAATATGTTGCTTTTATGCTGTTTCATTGTACAATTTGGGGTGATGAACTTTGAAATGATGTTCCATGGACTGACACCAATTTGAACTGGTTCTCCTTCAACTGTTGTTCATAAAGTTCTACTCCTAATTTTATTCCGTAATTTGCAGACCGCTTGGCTCTCATACGACAACAAAGAGCAGAAGCTGCAAAAAAGCGAGAGGAGGAGAAAGCTGGTACTTTCTTAAATTCTTACATTGGTCGTCCAAGATTCTCTTTCTTCTCTGCTAGGGGTTAATGCTTGCATTTGTTTCTGTGCAGCCAAAGAACAGAAGAAGGTGGAAGCTCGCAAGTAACGAATAGTACCATGAAATGTTGTTTTCAATTCTCCTAGTACAAGATATATCCCTACCATTATTGGCTAATGATGGAGTTTACACTTCCACCTTTCGTTCATGTCCTGTCTAGTTTAAATGGAGAAGAGTTCTCTATAGAGGAAATCATGAAATTATACTTTAAGCTCTGATTCTGTACACAAAATAGATTTGTTTGGCCAATATGATGGGAGGATTTACCAGTCCTTTTGTTGGGTTGAAATAAGGTTATTGCGACTAATTAAACTATCTTGCAGTGTGTGTGCTATGAGGAGAAATACTTTCCATGGAAAATGTTTCTAAGGAAAGTGGTTTTTTAAAAACTTATTTTCCTGTGTTTGCTTGGTGTGTGGACGCACGATCTTTGTATCCCTGAGGTGCTTTTTCAAAAGATTGGAATATGAAGAGGTTTGTTGTACGGCATACATAGAGCTTTGTTTTGTAATACGGAGAAGGGTCTGATATATCTCTCTACTATTAAAAATTGTTTAGAGTTGTCCTCCGTTATACTATTGGCACAAAAAATTCCCTACCGTCTTACTATTAAAACACATATACCCCTAATTTGACGGACTAGACACGTGGCACCCATCCAAAGCTGTTGGTCCATCTAGTTTTAAATTAAAAGTGACCCGCCCCATTATCCGGTACCCATAATCCAGCTCACTTGTTGGAACTCTACCCCTCTCTTCATTTCCCATTTTCAACGTCTGCAAAAGGGGAAATTCTATAGGAAAAATCAGGATGGAAAGCAGTGAAGAAGATGATTTCCCCTGTATTGAAAGCGTGACCCCTCAATCTAAGATCGGCTCCCTTTACCAATCCAAGGCTGAAAAAATACTCTCTATGTGCCTTTTTTCTACTTTCTTTTTCATCTCCATTTTCGTTAATTACTGAGAAAAAGGGGTGATAGCAAATTAAAGAGCTCCTATTGTGAGGTTCTTTTTTCTTAAATTTCGATCAATATTTTGAATCAAGTTTGTAACTTTTCATCTGAGAGTACGTAATTTTTGGAGTTCTAGTTCAAATTTGTTGCTGGGTTTTCATTATTTCAAGTGCTAGAGGTGAAAAATTGGTGCTTTGATGAAACTTGCAAGTGTGTATTCTTTTCTTGAAGGTCATATATTTTCTTAGCTAAATTTTTTATTTTGAAGTGTTATTTTACTTTTTGAAATTCTTTTTCAGTTTGATTTCTTGGGGGTGTCCATATTTCATGTAAAACCCTAATTTTGCTTATCGATGAGGAACTGAACCTTTATTTTTGAGAGTTTAAATTTAATTAAATTAAAAGAGGGTTGGGTTATGGGTACTGGGTAATGGGCGGGTCGCTTTTAATTCATGACGAGATGGACCAACAGCTTTGGATGGGCATGCCACGTGTGCAGTCCGTCAAGTTAGGGTTATATTTGTTTCGATAGTATGACGGCAGGGGCTCTTTTGAGCTAATAGTATAACGGAGGACAATTCTAAATAATTTTTAATAGTAGAAGGATATATCAGATCCTTTTCCGTTTGTAATATTATGTTGGCGGTAAGCTGACAGTCTTTTAGTCGAAAAATTTCCTCTTCCGATTTTTCAGCTCCAAATTCCTTCACTTGTAAAAGTAGTTGCACTGAAGAAACTTCGCTTCCGTTTGGCCACAAGTCTTTTTACTTCTTTTTTTTTTTTTTCAAAAAAGATTGAGAACATTGTTTGGTTATAAAAAGTAACTATCTTTTGGACAGTTTTTGAAGATGAATTTTTCAAGTTTCAAAATATGGTTTAGACTAGTTTTTTTTCAAGTTTTTGAAGTTATCTATTCATAAAACTTCAATCTTTTTTTTAAGTAAAATTCATGTCCAAATACAATTTTAACTTTTAAAAATCATTTCTCATTTCATCTTCGAATTTTTTTTTTCTTTGAAGTTTTAATTAAATTTATGTCCAGACGTTAGCTTAGTATCTAAGGTGATTTTAGATATATATGTGCCAACCCATATGTCTACCTGACACGTAACTACTAACTCATGTAGGCAATTATCCGTTAATAGTAAGATGAAAAGGAACGAGCAAAAAACATAAATAGACAAAATTTAAGAAAAAATTCCACAAACATAGCAACAATAGGTATTTTACACTTAAGGAAACTAAATAATTATATTCCTAGTAGAAAACTTTA